TGAAAGAAGATGATGCATCAACACTATCAATTCCCTTTACAATCTGAAACACCTCAATCAGACCCTCCCCCCATAACTCTTCTTTTTTTTAGAAAAAATTTCAGATATCTTAACCTCTTCTGATATGATAACCTTCCAATCCTAGGCACCATTCTATTAACACTGCATTCTGTATCTAATCCCTTAGGGACTTTCAAGAAGTAGAATAAAATAGTTGTTGTTGTAAAACAATGGCTTACATAAATAGTGTTCTATCCACTATTATGTTTGTTGTATCCCAAGCAGCCTGATGATGAATGGATGGAGCAAAAAACTTCCTTGGCAACTGATACAGATAATTTAGTGTGGTTGGAATACTATTGTTATTATTATACTCTTCTAATTCTTAAAAAGTCCTGAGGGAATAGATATAGAATGCAGTGTTAAAGAATATAACAGGTCTAATACTAATGTTTATTGACAACTGAGTTAATTATAATCATGCTTTGCCAGCTTGTAAAAGGCATACACACCAGTATTTTGCCAATTACCAAAAGCACTTTCAGAGTCATAAGTTTTATTAAGTAAAGTTTTTATATTATACAGTATGTTTCACATCATATTACACTATACATCTGAAATGTTTTTTGTAAACAAGCATTGCTTTTATTTCTCTTCCTTCAACAATGTGAGATTGATGATTTGAATAACATAACATACCCAACCAGGAAAACAGCTAAATAAAAAAATAGTGTGAAATTAATTGAAAATTAATGTATACACAGAACATAGCATACAGACAATAAGGATCCATTTGGTTCTTCAAATATGTACCTGCACATACACTTTGGAGTTTTGAGAAAGGTAGAATTTTACATCCATCCTTTATTACCTCCACCACTAAAGCTAATGGATGTTATGTTTCACTCCTGTGTGTGTTTGTCAGCAAGATTTCTTGAAAATGGCTATATGGATTTGGATGAAACTTGGTATACAATTAGACTATGACACAACTTAGAAATGATTAGTTTTTGGAGGGTCAAAGTCACAACAAGGTCATGAAAATCCCCAAACTTCCTATCTGTTAACATGGAGACTGATTTTTCAGACTATTTTTGCTCTATAACTCAGTCAAAAATGATTGAATTTTGATGAAACTTGGTGGACATGTGTAGAATATTCTTCCTCAATGTCCTGCCAAAAATGTTCCATGTTTCCACTCAACTGAGTGCCCCCTCTAGAATTTCTTGAAACTATTGATTCTCCATTCATACTCATTTTAAGTACAACTTATTCCATAAAAATCATTCACTCTTAGGAAAATAAAACTGGAGCCTATCTAAATCTAAGACTTGCATCCTCTCACCCTGTCAACAGAATGCAGCACAAAGAAATCAGAGGTGTTTATCCTATTGATCCCCCATATAATATTGTAAACTACAGCATAATTACCTTCTACCCTTCTTTTTTAAGAGAAAATAAGTTAGAGATCTTAACTTCTCCCCATAAGATAACCTTCCATCCCCAGAATAATCCTAGTAGCCATCCCTGGAAGCCTTTCCAATAAGTCAATATCCTTTCTTAGACAAAGAATTAAAACTGTATGCAGGATTCGATGTGAGATCTAACTAGTGATTTCTATAAAGATACATTTATCTTTTCTGACTTATAATCAATATGTCTATAATCCATTCTAAAATTCTATTAGAAACAGAGCACTGCCTCAGTGGTTTAATTGACTTATCCACCACTATGTCATAACATTTAAGGACAACAAAGGGCATGTTAATCCATCTAGGCTATCTCATCCACTAAACTAAATACAATTCAAAGCCAGCCCTTATCATTTAAATATTTATGAAGCCTTCCCTTATACTTTAAATTTACTGTATCCACCACATCTGAAGGTATCCCACTCCAAATATCAACCACTCTGCTAAGAAGAATGAAACTGTCTTATCTGAAGAAGATTCTTACCTTGACAAAACTCATACTTGTGGCCCCTAGTCCTACCATTCTCACAATTAAGTATAAAAAAAGGATGATGCATTGCCACTATAATTATAAATTTCATTAACAATTTTAGACACTTCAATCATATCCCTTCTAACTTTTTGTTTTTCAAGAGAAAACAATTTCAGAGATCTTAACTTCTCTTCATATGAAACCTATCTATCCCAGAAATTACTCTCCTGTGAACCCTAACAATTCAATATCTTTCCTAAGGAAGGAGCCCAAAACTGAACACAATACTCTAAGTGAGGCCTAAACTGTGGCCGAGACAAAGAAAGTATAACTCTAGACTTGTAATCAATACTGTTGTACATACAACCTAAAAATCCCATTTGCTTTAAATGGCTTAAGATACCAATCAATCAGAACACCAAGATCCTGTTCTTCCATAATATTGTTAAGGTTATTTCCATCATAATTACACTTATAACTTAAATTATTATGATAACCCACGTGCTTTGCCTTGCCTTTATTATAATTAAAATTCATCTTTCATTTTTTTACCCCAACTCTTCAATAATCTAAATCATTTTGTAAAACAGTAACATCCTTCTCACAGCTAGCAACACCCAAAACCTTAATATTCATCAGAAAATTCAAGTTAGAAATATCCAAGCATTTAATGTCATCATGAAATTTAACTAATTTATCAATAACAATATCATTACAGTAAATATGGAAATGCAAAGACCCAAGCATAAATCCTCAAGGCACTCCACTACTAACAAGGTTCCAGTTTGACTGGACTCATTTAATACCAACTTTTTCTTTATTCAATCAACCATCTTATAATCTTACACTTAATATATAGACTTTTAACAACTCATACCATTATAATTTTCTTAACTTACCTTCTGTACAACACCTTATCAAAACCTTAATGGAAATCCAAATACATTGAGTACAAAACCTTTCCATTATCTATATAAGTAGTATCATCAAGAAAAGTTAATAGATTGGTAAGGCAAGGTTTTCAGAATAAACTATACTTGCAGTTGCTTCCTATACAGATAAGCTTTGATGTGATGATTCAAGAAAAGCATATTGAACACATTCTGTTGCACTCTGTCATTGTTCATTTGTTAAGTTTTTTGGTATGAATCATTTAAGCTATGAAGAAATATTCAAAAATTTTAAGTTGTGTGTTCTTGAGCATAGTACTAGTAGAAGAACTAGAGTTGAACTGATTCAGGTGTTTAAAATTCTTAGAGACTTGAGTTTTAGTTAAGGCAAAAAAAGAAAGACAACAAACCTCTAGTTATAAAAAATATATTTCTCTTACGATAACATTCTAATTACATTTTACATAACAATAAATGCGTCTGAGTACAAAAACAAACCTGGCAACTTCCTGATGGTAATCATAATTTTCATCTTGAATATCCCATTGACTTTTTCCTGTCAATGGATTAAATCGCTGTGTGAATATTGGTTTACTCATTGTAACTAATGCTGGTAATTGTAAACCAAAACCGAGAAAAGATCCTAATTTTAAGTAACACTTAAAAGTACGAGGAAAATAAAAATGAAATCGCCTGCACCTCACAAATATTTCTAAGGCGAGAAATGAATTTGCGTACCACATACAACTTTATACTTATAGAGAAAAGCATGGATGTTAAGCAAATTACCAAGAAACGGATATGCGGTACAATACGAAAAATACAAATGCGATAAAAAGACAGTATTGTAATTTTGAACAGTTAAGAAAGTGTAATTATGGAAATATATAAATAAAGTATAATGCACCATTAAGAATCTTAAAAATACTATGAATTTGTTATGACTTTGTTTTTAAATGAATCAGGTTTTCCATACACATCTAGCTCAAAATCATGCAGTTTCGCCAACTTTCGCGGGAAATCGAACAAATGTGAGCGAAAGCAGACGAAAAGCTGATTAGTTGGTCCTTAAGATTGTTTTCTTTGACACGTATTGATAGGATGATTTAATAATTTTTAACAGGATAAAACATATGTTGAGTAAATTTATTGAAAAAGAACGAACAAGTAAAATAATAAACGGGTGAGTAAATACATTATAGTAATGATAATAAATAATGTCATACAAAGTAGTAAGACTAACTTAATAAGTAACAGTAACACAGCTAATCAACACTCAATTACTGAGTCAGGAACATTAATCAGTAAATTGGTAAATGAAAAGAAAGAGACAAAAGCAGATTTGGGGTAAGTTTTCAAGTTGAAAATTATGTAAGATTAGTTTTGTTTTATTTTTAGATTTAGGCTAATTTCAAAGTTAAACATACTTGTTAGTTGTATACTGAGTTAAGCCTAACTTAACCTAGGCTAAAAGAAAAGTAATACAACTTACAACTCTCAGACTCATGTCAAATTGAGGAATAATAAAAGTCAAAATCCTGATCCTTACAAATGAATGTTTCATGGATTAACAATAAGAGTATATATTATTGTTCTTTCCATATTTTGAATTAAGGACACTTCGAATCTAGATTTCAGAGTAACCAAACTTACCCATAAACTTTATGATAAAGACAAGCAAATAACTTCAAGTTCAACTGTAAAGTGAAAACTGAAAGAGAAATTAAATAGCCCTTTGCAGTCATATACCTGTTTAATAAATTTTCAAATAAATAATTTAAACTAATGGTACAGCATATAGGATGGTGTTAAGCAAACATTAAACAATATTTTAAGTATAGTAAAAGAAATTGCATTTAACTTTTAAGAACAAGTAAGAGTAAAATGTAACATTTTAACAGAGTTAATTAATTTTGTTACATAAGTTATCTTTTTATAATTTTTATTCCTATTTAGATATTAAAGGTAATGTTTTGGATGTTAATAGAATGAAAGATTTGTTTTATTAGAGTGAAGTTTTCTCATTAGCTACCTATAATGTAAGATATTCTAATCTGATATATCACTTTAAATTTTAACACTGGAAAATAGCCTTTGCCTAATTATATTTTTGAAGAAGTAAAAATTTGTGTTGCAAAGCTTAACTTTGACTAATTAAATGTTTCCTATGGTATAGTTTATCTTAAAGCTGTGAGAAAGCTAAGTTAAAAATAATAAAAGGTAGTTGTGATTTTTGTTACATTTCAAAAACCCTTTGACAGTATGAAAAAATGTGATTGCTTTAAGATGGCTAATGTTATGAAAAAGAGAGTTTAGGAAAGAACTAGCCTATGAGTCTAATGTTGACAAAATGTTAGGATTTATTATCATAGGGTTAAATAACCAGTTATCAAGGCATTTTGAAAAATTGTCATTTAATAAACAATTCTGTATTTCATTTTACAAAGGGATTTTTATGTAACCAACTTATTTGAGCTTTTTAAAAAGTTTTTTTGCTATTTTTAACAAGACCAATCTTGTAGATTTGATTTATAATGACATTCTAAAAGAATGGTGTACATAAAGTATATTAGTAACCCAGATTTTTGTAGAATTAATGAATTAGAAATATGTTTAATGGTAGGAGAAAAAAAAAGTGATTATAAGATTCAGTTTTCCTATTGAAAAGGTGTGAGCAGTGGGTTTTCCGAGGGCTTTTGTTTTGAGACTTTTTCTGAATTCATTGATAACATTAAGATGTTATGAACACTTAAGAATATTTCCTTGACTGAAGAAGCCAGGAATGTAAAATGATGCAATTGGAACAATAAGAAATTTTACAGAAGTCTTATTGTTAGTATAAGAAAAATATTGGTACAATGGAAAAACAATAAATGTATAATATTTGTCATTTTCCAAAGCTCGAAGGTTGTGTGACAGGTATTTTGAATAGTTTCAAGTTTAGCCTCCCTCTTGACAACATATTAGATGAAAGCAGATGTTGATGATAGTGGAAGGGCAGCTGTGATTCACGCTGCTTTGATCAAATATAGAAAACCAACAAAGTAATATTTTATCAATACTTGTGTCATGATGAGTATTTTAAAGTGGATGTCAAATGTTTTTTGTTAAAGAAGCTTAAGATAATGAAATGTCGTTTTGAGCTAATAAAATACAATTTTGCATATGAAACAGCAAACTTTAATGTTTAAAATAACTAACTTATAGTCCTTGTTTTAACTCAAGTATTTTTATGAGTGTAGAGTTAAACTGAAAACATAGTATATGGTAGCTTCTTTGATCAAAATTAATGTAGATTTTGCATGTACAGTTTTTATATTTCATAAAGCTAAAATGTGATATATTTTTTGCTTTTAATAAAATAACCTTTTTAACATTCCCAAGTAATATCTTTTTATGTCCAAGTTTTTCTACTGTACCTGAGAACATAAAAAATGAGGTCAGAGAATGCCATTTTGCCAAACAAGAAGATACACATCCAGAAAAAGGCTAAAAAAACCAACAAAATGCTGTGAAATTTGAAATTGATAGAAAACAAGTATATATATATATAAAACAACATGCAGAGAGAAATTGGACCATTTAGTTATTCAAAGCTGTTCTTGCACATTTACTCTTGAAAAATGTAAACTTTTAAACTAATCCTTTAATTTTTCATAAAATCATCAATTCCCCTCTTATATTCTCGTTAACTGCATATCATTCTATAAAAATCAGTCACCTTCTTAGAAAAATAAAAATGTCTTAACTATAGCCTACCCTGTGTTCTCCAAATCTTAAGTTTGTGTCCTCATTCAGTTATCTTCAGAATATAGTACAAAGAAAACAGAAGGTCTTTCTCCTGTCAATCCTCCGAATAATCTTTTAAACTTCAATTAGATCGTTTATTAGCATTCTCCTCTCCAGAACAAGTAAAAAAGATCTTAACCTGTCCCTATAAGACAACCCTTCCATTCCTGGAATCATTCTAGTAGTCCATTATAAGTCAGTGTCTTTTCTTAGAGAGGCCTAGTTAGTGATTTGTATAGAAAGATAATAACCACTTTTTGCTTTAGTCAGCATTTCTGAAAATACTTTTAGATTTGCAACTGACAACAAAGCACTCATCAATTGCTTGAGTCACCTATCCTTCAATATGTCAAGTTTCTTTTTCTTCAGTCATGTTATTGAGTGGGTACCCATATGTATTAAATGTGTGATCCAAATGTATTACCTTCAATTACTATAATTAATGGGCATTCGCCTGCCAAATATTTGTCAAACTTATCGATTGATCCAAGTCTTTTTTTTAAGGCCTCTACATCCTCAATACAGCTAGAAATATCCAAGAGTTCAATGCCATTAATAAAGTTTGATAAATATGACTTTATCAGAATCATTAATGTAAATAAGAAAAACATAAAGGTCCAAACTCTGTCCTGTGAGGTTAAAATATAAGGCCAGTTTGACTGGACTATGTTAACAGAAACCTTTGTTTTCTTCTCCCACCCAAGCATTCTACAATACAATTAACCAGTTTTTCCCTGTTTATGTGATTTTCTTATTTTTTTGTGTGACATCTTATCATATGCTTTACAAAATCTAGATACATTGTGCAGCACTCTTTCCTTTGTGCCAGTTAATTAACTTTCTTACGAAACAATAACATATTAGTAAGGAAAGATTTATGTTTGGTGAATCCATGTTGGCTTTCATTTATGATACATTTCACTAAATGATTTTTGTAAAGCATCTTTCATTAGACTAGAATTTTTCCTACTACAGAATTAAAACTAACTGGCTCAATTTCTAGGACAACCCTTTAAAAATAGGAGTAACATAAAAGTTTTCAAATCCTCAGCTACTTGCCAACTCTTACTGACCTACCCAAAACAGTTTAAGAAATTATACTCAAACTTTTCATTAAACTAAAGTTTGTGCTAAATTTTTCAAAATGTATCAGTTGTTTTTTTTATTTAGTATTGATTTTTTTTTGAGATAATTAAAATGCAAAATATTCAAGAAGCTTATATTTATAAAGTTTTTCTATATTTCCAAAATGTCTGACAACACTAGTATGATGCAAGGAGAAACTGATGCTGTTGAAAATGTTTCAGAGGATTGGGTAACTGCTTTTTACGTTAGCTTCTTCTAAAATTCGGTTAGATGAGTTAATAGGAAGAAAATTTCATTCTGTTTTCTCTGTTTTATTATGTAATTCTTGGTGCCCTCTATGGACAAAAATACACTTTTTGTCCTCCTCATTTCTAAATATATATAAAATCAAATTGTGGTTCTTAAGCAACTGAAAAAAACAACAACAGAAGCTATAATTAATCTAACAAATTATTTTATCTTTTCAACCAAGATCTTCATAATTATGTATTTACAAAACAAAAAGTTGTTTGCTGTATCTTGTGTAACTTTGCAAAACATTATGTTGAAATGCATCTATTTCTTTATTATTACAGCACCATGCAAGGCAACATATCTGTTTCTAGTGTTCGGTATGAAGTCTGTTTTGTCATCCCAGATGGGAAAAAAGTAGCTGATCTTCCAGAATCCATGCGACTTGCCTTCAGTTCTTTAGAAGCAAGTGGTATTGACTCAGTATGGACTTCAACACAGGCATGCTTGGAAATTAAGGAAAAGGAAAATAAGCTTTATATTTTTGATCCTTTCATAGGAGTGGCATTTGATCATCTTGTGTCTTTAAATTGTAGAATTATGGGACCCCTATGTATTTTGACGTGTTTAGAGCATGGTGAAGCCTTACCAAAACGACCTTATCCTGTATATAGCTTAGCCTTTAGAAAAATGACTATAACATGTTCAAATGTAGACAAACAGACTCGATTAGACATAGAAAAGAAAGTTCAGTTAATGGGTGGAAACTTCATTAAAGATTTGACTAAAAGTGTTACTCATCTTGTGGCAGGTAAGATCATTATTATGTTTCTTTGTATATTTACTTGTAAATTGAAATTTTAAGTTCTATGGAAAAGTGCAAAATTGGAAAGGTTAAACTAGTATAAATGGAGGAGAATGTGTTGTTCATCATTGTGTGAGGAATCATTAAAAACTCATCAAGTCTGTTTCATATATTTACACGTTGCTGCATAATGCGGTCACTCATTCTTATTTCCATTACTTTACTCATTTTCTTGTATCATTTCAGCATGTTGACTTAAAATCTCATAACTTAGTGTTTTCTGAATTATTTGGTAACATTGGTAATTTTATGTTACCAGATAGTTATCTTTTCTTTAACACAATATAATTGTGATGAGTCTGTCTATTTCAGTTGGCTTGTAAACTAGTGCTGTAGACCTATTGTTCCCCTATATTGCAAGCTATAGTACTTTAACACAAGGTTTTTTTTTTAAGTGGCAGGACATACAAGTCCAAATGAAGGAAGAATGTAATCACTGTTTTGGACACTGGTTTATCTATGTAGCCATGTGGCTGTCACAAGTTTAGAGGTTGGGTTATTTTGGTTGATAGGCCTGTGGTTAACATAATATTTGGCTATGATGTTGTCCATCTTCAGACAGCATGATTTATTTCCTGTTTATTCTACCCATCATTAAAAGTATTGTCAGTGTTGAAAAGTTTTTTTGTTAGCTTTTCCCTTCATATATAAAATGTGACTCATAGACACACTTGTATATTATAAGTTTACAAGTATTTAAGTTATGGAGATTTGTACATTAATGAAGTATTCATAACATATGTGGATGTTTTGGACTGTTATCACAGTCAGTGAGTAACAGTATACAAGCTGAATGTTTAACTGTTGAAGGCAATGTATAATACCAGTCCTATAATGATGAGGATAATGATAGCATTTTAATATACTGTAATAAAGTATACCAGGCCTTTAGCCAGTGGATTATCCACCCATCCTTTGAATAAGAAAAAAGAGAGCACTACTATCATGTGGCACATATGACTCCCTCTACATGCCATTACCAAACTATCATTTTTTCGTTTGGCAGCTGTCCCTTTGGTGGAGAGGTGACGCATGATGATTTGCATGAGAGATGTATTGGAACTTTGGATTCCAACAGAGGGAGGATGAAGGCTGTGGCATGCGTTTCTGAAAAACGTTCGCATATAGAGGGAAATACCTATTGGAAATACATTTTAATTTAAAAAAATTATAACTTCTATCAATCTTAGAATTTCAATTTTTTTTTTTTATTATTGATCAAAAAGTTCCATTTTATATATCCAGTTAGTTTCAACTACATTGGTACTATAAAATTATTTCTTTTGGTTATTTTACTAGTTACAACAGCAACCATTTCCAGCTATAAATAATATTAAAAATATAGCAAAACTTGACAAAAATTTATTTGTGACCCTGGGTCTCACCTTTAAAAATGGCTTCACTATTACCTTTGTCAGGCTAGGTAACAATATTTTTGTTAACAATACTCTTGGTCAGATCAATTATGTCTAACACATATACCTTCTCTTAAGTAATGTGTTTGCTACATAATTCATGTATGTCATTTAACTATGATAACCTTTAAAATGATATCCAATAAATTAGTATTTGAGTCATCAGAATATTTTGCAGTCACCTACCATACTCAATAAACCTAACTGTACTTTTGTCTTCTTTTGAAACAAAGTTTCTGTAGTTTTTAAAAATGATTTAATTTAATTTGCAGAACATTTTCATGAATGAAAAGAATATCTAAAAATATGTTAAAAAAAATAACAGCTCTGTAGTTTGTTTCTAACCTTCAAAATGTTTGTTGAATGCATTTGATCAATGATGTAGGAGTTCTATTCTTAACTATTGCTCAAATCCCCAAGAACTTTGGTGCTTGTGACACATTATGTCTTTAAAAATTTTGGATGGTCACTTTTCAAATCTGGCTAATTCCCTGAAGTATACACAAGAATTACTACTTCGAAAACATACTTACCTTCACTCACACTACAGCTATTACTCAACTGCCTATCTAAGCATTGGTCCAATTTTTTTATTGCTTGTTCCAGTCTTTTATACCCCACTTAATTGCCCTTGGCAATATTTGTCTTGTGACACTCTCCACCTATGTCAATGTGCCCTCTATCCTGGTACTGTATATAAGCACCTCATTCAGATAATGTTATCATTTTTTTCTCGACAAAACGTTAACCTACTAAATCGTATTTC